CTACAGATGTCTCTGTGGCGCAATCGGTTAGTGCGTTCGGCTGTTAACCGAAAGGTTGGTGGTTCGAGCCCACCCAGGGACGTTTTGTGCTTAAATATCCAGATAATATCACGGGAAATATGACGACTGTTACAGATTACAGAAAACGACATAATGACTTCTTGAAACCAATTTATCACTCATCTAATGGGTTTTCTCAGTTCGAACTGGCTTTGTAGCAAGATCATCTAAGGATGACCTGCATGCGTCATTGTTCTTGCAGCCAAGGCTTCCAGCTCAGATGCAGCTGTTTCCCAGACAGGCACCCCCACCTACCCCTTTCCCCCCGTACCAGTCCTGAACCCTAACCCTTCCACTGGTCTCTGTCCCCCAACAGTCAGACAATTGATACCAATTGCTCCTACTGGTCCCCTTCCTTTTCCTCCGACTTGCAAGGCCTATAATCGTACAGTTGAAAAAAATAAATGGCGGCTGTGCAACCAGCCAAAGAATCGAGAAACTGGCCAGTTTTATGGTCATGTGTCACTGCAGAGTTAATGATAATATAAATGTTTATCAATGATGTTGAATACGAGACGATGGGTGAACATCATTTATGGTTGCTGGTATTGGAAAGTTTCAAACTTGGTTGGCTGCTGTTGTTATTATTATATTGTATATTATTTAAGCTAATCATTTATTGTATTGTGTTCTTTTATTATTTCCTAATTCATGTTTTTTTATTTCATTGATTTTGTATATAGCATCATATTAAATTAGTTGATCTATTTTTTATTTTTTTATTGTGAATAAGGTCTGAATTGTATATATTTTGTAGTAAATTTGACTTGTGTTTCTGCACTAGTAGCTTTGATTGTTTTTTTCCCCCCACAGATATCTGCCAACAAGTGGAGTCAAACTGTTTGCAAACTCAAATCAAAATTTTTGCACTGTTACGCCCCCAGAATAAGGCAAAATTTCCAAAGCTCTGGTCATAATTCAGTATTGGATAGATATGTATGAGCTACATCATTTTGAGATTCTAAGACAGCACTAGTTTGGCAGTTAGCATCAAAGTAGCCAGCCAATTTGCTGTAATTTCTCTTCTTAAAATTAACAGATATGAAGTGCCTAAAACTGTACCTTATTTAAAATCTTCCCCATTGATGTAGTGTCTTCGTCCTTCTCTTGTTCTTCTAATACTCCAAGGAAGTCTCGTAATATAAACATGTCAAACACCATCTGTGTTGAGTGCTGAATCTCCTAAACTGCATAAAAACAGCTTTTCTTCAACTACAATCTAATTGTGAGGAAGAGGAAAAAGTCACAGGGAGCCACGATCCTATTTAGGGACCAATGCATGACTTTTGAACACTTGTGAAACAGAATCAAAAGAATAACCGTACTTATTTATGTAAGATCAGCTGCACAAAGAAGCATTTGGTACAGGAAATTGATGGCACTCTCTCATCCAATCAAAGGCCGTGTTACTAAGTGGTGATTCCTGTGCAAATAGCCCACTGACAAACATGATTTAAGGCATCAGTGCTCTGTCCTGAGCTTTTAAAAACCTGCTGCAATACAAAGTGACACTAAAGGTCGAGATAATGTGTGAAGATAATTCTGTCTTGAAGCCTCAGCCTACAAATATGATGACAAGCAGCACATATTTTGTTGCGGACAATCCATAAAATGTATACTGACTCTAGTATACCTGATAATTATTTAAAATTAGATCAAGAAGCAATCGAAGTATTAAGACAGACAACAGCAAAAATCAGGAAGTTTGGCGGGCAGTAAAACCAAACATCCTCCACTGACCGACCTGAGGTGTTTCTTGGGGAACCTTCTCTCAGCATCTCCAGAGCCATGAAGCCAAAGGCGTTGAGTCTGTAGTTGAAGCTGACGTAAACCATTTCCGTGTCGGCAGCGAGCTTCTCCGTGGGCGAGTATCCTGTCTCCCCTCCACTGAGCATGTGCAGGTATCCTCCGTGGATCCAGACCATGACGGGCAGCTTGGCGCTGGGCTGCAGCGAAGGCGTCCACACGTTGATGAAGAGGCAGTCCTCCTGGCCCATCACCTTCCCTGTGATCGACAGCGGCCTCACCTGAGGACACATGCTGCGGAAGCGACCGGCGTCAGTCAACGTACTCCGGCACACTGGATCTGCTGGGGGAGCCCAACGCAGGTCACCGACAGGCGGAGCGGCATAAGGCATGCCCTTAAAGGAGAAGGCTCCATCTTTCTGCATGACAGGAATTAAAAAGTGGCATTAAATGGTGTTTAGTGGCGGTTTATTCGAGTGGATCCAAACTTTTTACGGTCTTCAGACCTAGTCGAAATTTTCAGATTTTTGTGCTTCTCATGTTCCGAGTATTTAAAGTTTGTTTAACGAATTGTAACCGCTTCTTCAATTGCTGTTTTAGGCCTTCATCCATCTGATTTTACATTGCTCTATTTAATGTGAAAACCTTTTCATGTAAACATCACAGAACCACTGTTAATGGCTTAGACTAAAGAAGACACCTGTAACAATACATATAAGCAGAAATTTAATTCATTCATGTCAGTGAAAACTTAAGATATTAAAATTCACAATTTTCCCTATTTTTTTATTTTTTCAGTTTTACGTCACATTTAAATACAAATGTTTCTATTGTTTATATGGTCCACTTGGTTGTAATGAAAAAAAAATCAGGACTATGAGACACTTTTATAAATTAATGCCGTGCCTGCATTTATCCTTTGTGAATCAACACCATTGAAAGTGAGGTTTGTTCCTCAATGAGTTCTCTGAGGTTTCAAATAAATCATACTTGTATATATTTGCAGCTCGGAAGTAACTCATTTTCATTTGTAGTATTTGAAACCTGCATTTTAGGGCTGCACCATACGTCATTTCAGTGTCTTCACTGCATTGTGCACATGTGTATTAGTCATAGTAGTAATAGTAGTAAGGCGAATTAACTCAAACACATCACATCAAGACTTTGTTTGCTGCTCGATACCAAAAAAAAAACAAAAAAACCCTGCAGTCTTTATTTTAAACGACTAATCAACAAGAGAAGTCTGTCTGATAGAACATCATTTACTCTGATGTAAGGGTTCTTAAGGTTTTTTTTTGGTTTTTTTTTTAGCTTTATTTGAAAGACGTGAAGTTTGTTGACATTCAGGCTTCACATGTGTACAGCAAAATGAGCGAGGAACAGGAGAGAAACACTGGAAAAAGAAATTTGCTAAATGAGACAGTTGTATGGAGATATTTCAGCTACAAAAAGGACACTATTGACCAAAAGCAGGTACTCTGTCAGCAGTGTTTTGCATTTTCTACCACTACGCGGACCTACATGACTAATTTGACTATTTAAATCAGCACCATAAAAAGTGTAAAGCCAGATCTGAATGTCATCCAAAGTAAAAACTACTTTAGATGCCTTAACAAAGCTTTTTTAAAATTCTTTTTCATTTTCGGTGCACTCAATGTACTCCTCATTCTTCACTCAAGCATTCTAGGATGAGCAGTTCTCAGCAAAGGAAGTCATTCAAGTCATCTGGTGAAAATTCCTTTTCCACAATGGAATATATATCATACAAAAAAAAGCATCACATAGTCCATTGTTTCCCTAATATTGTGCAGCTTTACTGTATCTGTATTATACTTTTGTTTAAGTTAACGAGCAACTTATAACGAAGCTGCAGTCATCCACACACCGGGGTACTGCAGGGAGAGGTGCACAAGTTCTCACTTCTTTGCTGCCACTGGTCTAAGTTTATTTTTATTGTTTTCAGGAATGAAAGGTTGCAGTTTGTTGGGCTGATAGTGGATATGTTTTAAGGTAAACGCACTATCAGTTAACTGTAACAATTGTTGATGACTTATTTATTTGTAAAATGACTGAATAACAATACGTAAGACGACATTTGTTGTATTTTAGTAATCAAATTCAAAAATCACATTCGCTTGTATTCATTAAGCTCAGTGTCAAGATGTTTCCGTCGATTTTCTTCTGTGTTTCTGTGATAAACCTGGTGTATAAACTGCCGTCACTACTGACTGGAAAGATGCTTGAGAATCTAAAAATATCATCCAAGCTGTAATATTATCTAAACTCTCCTGTCAGGGAAACATCATGAGTAAACAATTGCAAACAGTGTTGTGATCGTAGGAAAAGATAAACATGTTTAAGCAATGCTTCAGGTTAAAAAGTACACTATTCACCTCACATGGATAGCACGTTTCCCCTCCTGCTGCAGCTTTAATAAGCAGAAATAAGAAAATACCAAGCTGCACTTTTTGAGTATTTCTGCAGAATGAGCAGAAATCCAAGCTGTGGTGTCTTGATAGGGAAGTGAAAATGAGGATTACATTTGTGTTGAGGTCAACTATGGACTCAAGTAGTTTGAAATTGGCCTTTTTTTCTGCTTTCAGTGAGTTAAATGGAGTTTTGTTTTGGAAAATCTAGTTTTAACAGGGAGCTGCAAGATGGTGCAGTTGGTAGCACTGTTGCCTCGCAGCAAGCACCAGGATCTTTCTGCGTGGAGTTTGCATGTTCTCCCCGTGCAGCGTGGGTTCTCTCTGGGTTCTCCAGCTTCCTCCAACAAGGTCCAAAAACATGTTGAGGTTAATTGGTGATTCTAAATTGTCCGTAGGTGTGAATGTGAGTGTGCTTGGTTGTCTGTCTCTAAGTGTAGCTCTGTGATAGACTGGTGACCTGTCCAGGGTGTCCCCTGCCTTCACCCTAAGTCAGCTGGGATAGGCTCCAACCCCCCCGCAAGTCTCATGAGGATTAAGCGGTATATAGATAACAGATGGATGAATAGTTTTAAAAGGTTTTTCTAATGTTTTGTGTCTACAGATACTGCATCTATCTACAATAATTAAGCATGTATGAAAAGATGACTGTGAGATTGTGTGCTATATCTTGTATTTATGGTGGTTTACAGTATTTTTTTTTTTTTTTTTTAAGGAAAAGCCCAATAAGCAGTTTAAACTCACATGTCTTCCTCTAAACTCTCCACAGTCCGTCAACACCTGGGCGAGGCCTGGCGGCAGCGTCTGAGCCACATAGCCCAGGTAGGTGGCGAGCACAAGCAGAGCGAGGACGATAAGGCAGATGAGGAAGATGCAGCGTCTGGACAGCACCAGGACAGGGCTGATGTAGTGCCTGTGCCGGACGTACTGAACCTCCTCCTCTTCCTCCTCCTGCACCAGGTAGCGGTACTCGGTCCTCTCCGGGACCTCGAAAGCATCCTCATTCATCTTCACTCTGGGACAGAAAACAGAAGTTAACTTCACCTCAGACAACATTAAAGTGGGATTTCTGGGTCTGAAACGTCCTCCTTCCAAACCTTCCAGACACACGATGTGGGTCGTCTGCATCCGGCCATTTGCTGTAATTTTCCAAAACTAGCAATATGACATTTACACGCACAACCGATGATTATTTTAATTGTCAATCGATCTGTCTGGTCGATAAAATATTAGAAAAAGTTTTCAAAAGCTCAAGACGACATTCTCGGATGTCTTGTTTTGTTAACATTCCAAAAGTATTCAGTTTACTGTAAAGGCGAGGAATGAAAAAGGAAAATATTCACAGTTTAGTTTAATTAATAATGCCGATCAGTTGATGATTGAAACACTTGGTAAATATTATAACAGTTGACAATCAATCAATCAGTTGTTGCAGCTCTGGTGTAAACAATGATCTTTAAACTGTTTGTAACAGTAGATTCTGATGGTAGATGATGTGCCATCAAGCCGTTGAAGAAACTAAGAAACTTGCTAAAATTATGTCACATACATTGTAAGTCCGTGTTTAGTTAGTTATCGAAATAGCTAAACTGAAAAAAAAAAAAAACACGACAAGCCCTCATTAGCAAAATCTCATTGGCAAAACCATTAGGATGCCTAATTCAGGACTTCTTGTCTTCTTGGTTAGTCTCTACAGGTAATACATTCAACTAAAAAGCACATGGTGATATTTGTTGTTTACATTTTTCTGATTAGTTTCTTACCGATTAGTTATTTTGTTTGGTTTTTGAGAAGGACTTGAATGGTCATTTTGTGCATTAAAATCTGTGCTGCATATATATTTTGTCAATTTGTTTGAGAGGACAGGTGATACAGATTAAAAATATTTAAAAAGTTTTTCAGCTTTCCTAAAGTTTAATTCAAGCAGCGTTAAATAGGATGAAAGCATCACAGCATGATGCTGCCGCCGCCATGCTTCACAATAGGGATGAGCAATGAGTTCACCAGGCATAGTGCTTGGAGTTCTGCACAAACGGTCCAAGTTTTGGACCGAAAAAAATATTTTTTGCTTGTGTTCTCAAGAGTTCTTAAAATGCAGTTTGACAAACTCCTAACATCATGTGTCTTTTACCCATAAAGTCCTAATTTTTGGAGCACTGCTGAGATGGTTGTCCTTCCAGCAGGTTCTACATCATTAAGAGGTATTGATGAGTTTTTGGTCTCAGGTCGACTCTATGAAAAGTCCCTGTGTTTCTTCCATTTCATTTTTATTTAAACCGTTCTGAAACATTTAAAGCTTTACAAGTTGTTTAGTTATCTCACCCTGATCTATGCCTCATCACATTACTATTATGAAGATCTGCAGAGAGGTCTTAGACTTTATTGCTTGGTGTACATCCTGACATACAGCGTGGATTGTTAGTCCTTGAGGTGAGTCTTCAAACTATCCAATCCTTTCAGTTTGCTGCAAGTCGACTCATATACTCATATACAGTATTTACTTTTGATTAGTTTAATCCAATAGGCTCTTTTTATGCGTGTCTTTCTAATATTCATTCACAAAATAACACAAAAAACAATATTTTCCTCTGAAATTGGGTGAATTAGTAGTAAAACGCGATTATAAAGTAATAATACCACAGTAAATGTGTACGTGACCACATGTCCTAAACAGACACACAGCAAAAAGGAAGAAGAAAAAACCGCGAGGGAGACAATTAACGGACGCAACGACCAGACAACATCTGACAACACAGTAATACACGGTGTTCGTCTAATCTGCAGCGCTGGACAATGACATTTCTATTTATATCTGCTAACTTTTGGTAAAATATGAAATTAATTTCAGGCACGTCAGACTGTCCGGTGGCTTTCTTATGCATTAACTTTTAATGAATGACCCGAAAACTAAAATTAGAAGTTGAGTAAAGAAGCTAAACCAGCAAATGAAACGGAGCTTTTTCCGCTAGTTGTTGTCAAACTTCATTTCCAGACATGCTCTAATTCACAGTTTTTCTGCCGTTTCCTAAACTTCGTTGATGCTCGACAGCTTAAAAAAAACACAAACAAACTTTTAGAAACAGCTGAAAGTGCCGTTTTATTACTCACCATGTCCTAAAAACTCCGACAGGATGCGAGAATGAAGTCCACAAACACAAAAGTTGACGCATTTAGTTTCCAAACAGGGCGGAGTGCGCATGCGCAGAGCCTGTCCAGTTTTTGGACATTTAAAGGGACAGTACCAGTAGTAACGGTTGGCCTGTCAGGTGCACAGATGTACACGAATGTGGCAAAACACACAGTAAACAGCGTGTTTTTTAATTGTCCCCAGAATAATAATATATTTCAATATTAAACATAGAAATACATCTAAATAAATATTACCATGCAGAAAAACGTAGTTAGATTGTTTTACATTGAAATTTAAAAAACAAAAAACCTGCCTCCATAATAATAACTTTTTTCAATAATGAAAATACAAGCTCATATAAATAAATATTAAAATGCACAGTAAACAATGTGTGTTTTTTAAAAATTGTTCAACACTAAATAAAATCGTTTTTTAAAATCCGTCACCAAAATAATAACTTATTTCAATATTAAATATATGATTACATCTAAATAAATATTAAAATGCACGGTGAAAAACTTAACAAGTACTAAACAAAATAATGATTGGTTAAAATATGAGATGTATTAATATATAACAGACAAAAAACATCAAAATACGCAGTGAACTTCAGAAAAAACTTTAACGTTGGAAGGCTCTTTCATTATCACGTGCAATACTTTGTTATAAATTGTGATATAATATCCCAGAAACATTGTAAGTATTACTGCTTACTTTTCGAATCTTGTCTTACTTTATTTTGAAATATTGTACCATACTGTGTATAGATTTTTCTTGTTGTTGTTATTATTATTTTTATTGCTTTTCTCATTCTTTCACACTGTATTTATTCGGATATTGTGGAATTTATTTCTGAGCAATATCTGGCATGAGGATGAACCTCCATGTGAGTAGATTGTGTTAACTTTTCTGAATAATTTGTTTTTGATTAGTCTTTGGTTTGGTTACTGAGAAGGACCTGGATGGTCATTTTTGCATTCAAATCTGTGCTGCATATATATTTATAGATATTCTGTCACCTTGGTTCAAGGTTCAAAGGTTCAAAGATTTGATTGTCATTTTCACTGTGCATTTTCATGCACAAGAGAACTACATTTCGTTTCTCGATCAGTGGCTGCAGTGCAATAGAACCATCAATAAAATAGTTTACATCACAATAAAATATACACATCATAATAAACTAATATAGTCATAAAGTCAGATAAAACACTGCCCAATCTGATCTGTCAAAGTGCATAAGTGGCTTGACAGGCTGTCAAGGGTGAGTGTGTATGTGGGGATGGGGGACAGTCCATTTATAAGTCTTACAGCCTGGGGAAAGAAGCTATTCAGCTTCCTGCTACTTTTGCAGCTAATGCTGCTGTATTTCCTCCCTGATGGCAAAAGGGACAAGAGGTGGTGGGAGGGGTGGAGCGGGGCCATGATGATGGAGGTGGTTCTACTGATGCAGTGCTGCTGGTTTAGCTCCATCAGGCAGGGGAATGGGGCACCAATGATTTTGCTGGCTGTCTGAACCAGTCTGTTTAGTCACTTTCTGTCTTTGGCGCTGCAGCACCCCAACCAGGTGGTGAAGCCATAGGTCAGGATGCTTTAAACGGTGGCCCTGTAGAAGGTGGTGAGGTGTGTGATGGGAAGGCCTGTTTTCCTGAGTCTGTGAATGGAGTGAAGCCGCTGCTGAGCTTTTTTGAGGACTGCTGAGGTGTTAGTGGTTGGAGTGAGGTCATCATCAATGTGAACCCCCAAGTACTTCACACTGCTGACCTTCTTCACAGCAATCCCGTCGCTGATGAGTGGTGCATGATCCTGTTTGCCAGCCCTCCTGAAATCGATAACAACCACACTGGTCTTGTTCACATTGAGGAGGAGGTTATGGGAACTGCACCATGAGCTCAGCTGTTTCACTTCTTCACTGTATACAGACTCGCTGCTGTCCTTAATATGGCCCACCACTGTCGTGTCATCTGCAAACTTCAGGATGTGGTTGCTGCAGAATCTGGCAGTGCGGTCAAAGGTGAGCAGGCCGAAGAGCAGAGGGCTCAGGACAGAGCCCTGTGGAGAGCCTGTGCTCACTCTGATGGTCTTTGATGTGTGGCTTCCCACCCTAACTGTCTGCTGTCGCTGAGTCAAAAAGTTGTAGACACAGTTACAGATGCTGTTGTCCACCTGTAGCAGCTGAAGCTTTTCCACTAGCTGCTGTGGGATGATGGTGCTGAAGGCACTTGTGTCAGAGAGGACAGGAGATACAGATTAAAGGTTTTTTTTTTTGTTTTTAAGGTTTTCAGCTTTGCTAAAGTTTAATTCAGGCTTTATTATATAGAAGAATCCAGCAACTGCAAATGCACTTTTAAAAACTCTTTAAAGGGTTAACACTCAAACCTGGATTCACGCAGTTAATGTTAACCTGTTACATAACTAACCGTCTGTAGTGAAGGATCTGCTGCTTCATCACCGTCCAGCAAACCGGCTCATACCGTCGGCTCTGTGTGCGTCTGAGGAAATGCAAACTGTTTGTCACAATCAAGCTCTCTGGAGGCTCAGAGTCCAACAGAGCAAAGGTCACTACGACCAGAGGGAGGCATTTTTAACCCTATAAATACAAAGTGAAAGCATTCAGATTCTGACCTGTGCACTGTTTACTGATGTTCTAAAGTTTAAACTCACTTACACTTTCAGTTACAGTCATGTTTTGTATGTTTCAGTCGTTCACATCATTCTGACCTCTAACATTATACAAATGTGACTGTTTATTAAACTACAACAGCTTGAATTTTCACAACAAAAGATGCAATAACAATGTTGAGGGTCGCTGTACGTCACATGATCTGTTTGCTTTGCTTTGTAAACAGTTTATTTCATACATTTTAAATATTACATAAAAGATTAGGAAGAATTGGCAACTTTTTAAAGATTTAGAAAATTAACTTCATATTAGCGTTTAGCATTTTTAAAATCTGTCCTAATTACAAACCTAATTTATAACATTTTATGAATCCTTTAGGAGACTTGATTGACTTTGAACTTAATGAAAATTGCATATTTTAATAAAATCTTATGCTACTTCACAGCATCTTGTCTGCAGCTGCTGCAGCACTTTTGCTGTTTTTTGTAACTTCATGCATGATTCAAAATCCCTAATTGACTCTTAAACATCTGTGTTGTCTGAATGTAACAGTGTTTCAATGTAATTAAATACATTTACTTAAGTTCTGCACTTAAGAACAGTTTTGAGCTGCTTCTACTTTGCTTAAGAACTTCTATTTTCTGCTACTTTAATTTACTCACTTATTTATTTCCTAAAATTTAGATGCAAATGTACTTTTTACTTAATTTATCTGTTAACTTTAGTTGACGATTTAGTTATTTAATACAAAATATCAACAACAGTACATTAACTCTATTCAGGATTTTTGGGGTCTTTTGGACCCCAGGCCATTTGGTTCAGGTGACAGGCATTGTTTTTTTTTTCTCTGTTTGTTTGTTTTTTTTAGGATTTTTATTTATTTTTTTGAAATATAAAGGGACATTTGTCATGCATTTGGAATCAAAAACGTATCAGAAAATTTATTTAACACAGTATAAAAGTATATAATGAATACCAACATACCAATATTTTTGCACATATTCTTTCTTGGGATTCAATGGACCTTGAAAGACCTTCTACGTATGGCAACATGAAAGTCCTGAATAGGGTTAAAGCTGCACAGTTATTAGATTAAGACTCAACTTTATTAAGAAACTTTACTGAAATCAGCTTCATCTTCACCAGCTGCAAGTGGCATTTATGCAAACAAGTAAGAACCAATAATATTTTAGAAATAGACATTGTTCTAAAATGAACCATTCTACATGAGGAATATTTTGACTTTTGGTGTGTTAAGTATAATCTTTATGCTTTTACCTAAATTTGGATGCATGACTTTTCCTTGTATCAGAGTCTTTGTACATTTCATTTTGCGAATCATCTGTTTTCTTGAGGTGTTTTCACATCTCATTTCACCTCAGAGACAAACAGCCTCACCTGGATCTCTGCTCACTCGTCAGCCTTTCAGTCTGTTATTCATTGCAGTCAGTGAACGGCCTCCACAATCAGCACTGAGACGCTGGAAGAAACCACCAGAGTGACCGAAACCACGTGAGTGAAAATCAGTGGCATCGATGCTGCAATTAAATGCTCTCACTAACGGTCTGATCAGAAGAATTGACTGAGAGTCCTGGAGGCCTGATTTATTCCCCGTCAGCCATTTTAACTATTGATCTGCATCGAACAGGAAGCGACGCCTTTAAACACCTCAACAACAAATGGAATAATTACTCTGCTTTAATGCTTCAGTGTCAGTTTAACCACTGAGACCGCAGCTGGAGGGAAGCTGTGTGTTTGGTGTTCAGCTGTATAATAAAGTCAGATTTATAAGTTCTGGTTTGTGTTTGTTTGAGTTCAGCTGTTTGACTTTTGGAAGTGCTGCTTTAAAAGCATTTATTAGCACATTGTCTCACTTTTTGGCAGCAGCAGAGCCAATACGAAGGTTTTAAGGGAGCTGATATGACATCAGGGACGCTTATAAAACAGGACAACTTCAACTGCAAACAAGATCACTTTTAACAGCTGGTTTTATTATGGAACTGTTTCATGTCATCTCTGTTGGAGAAAGCACCGCTGAGTTCATATAAAGGACTGTAGGACAGTTCACTGACTTTGCAATGAGTACATTTTCAAGGAATTAGTTTTTTTTTACAAGCGACATTTATTTATTTATTTTTTTTACTGGATCGATAATTTAACAAAACAGAAAATCAGTAATATATATATATATATATTTTAAAACATTTAATTCACACAGTTTTTCTTTTTTTGCTGATTTAAATATAGTTAAAAAATCATTATTATTATTATTATTATTATTATTATTATTTTGCACTGATTTATATGCAGTGTAAAATGGTGTACTTTGTGGCCAAATGTTATATATATGAAAAACCCAACTAACTACTATTTCTAAAAATGATTTTTAATGTTGACATTATATACAGTTATGGTCAAACTTTTCTTTAGGCAACA